CTACAGTTGAAATTAACAAGGAAATCACTTTGTTTTTTTGTCAAAGTACACACACGCACATACATACCAATTTTCCAATTTCAGCCGAACTTGTCATCAATTTTAAGGGCAGCTTAGTGGGCAATTGTCTGTAAATCCTACTGCCTATTGCTCGCTTAATTTGATTTATCGTAATTGTACAACATTACACAATACCGTGGACTATATTTTTTATTTGTTGTAATAAAAAAATAATAAAATAATTGTTAATCCCAGGCTTACATAATGCAAGACATAAAAGAAAGAAGAAAACAGTTAAGGCAGTTTTCATCTCTTGGGGAAAAAATCCAAATTTGAAAACGTTCAAGAGATGGAGAAAAAAATGCCACCAATGAAACTACAATTCCAATTCAGATTCAAAGCCGAAGCTCAACTTTTACAATGGGAAAAAAAGAGCCAAATTTGACGTTCAATGATGCGCAACGCAAAGTTCAAAAGAGAGTTAAGAAATCGCTTAGCTACGGTTAGAGAGGTTTCTCTCAATGCTCTCCACAGGACGATTTATCAAGTGAAGAAGACATTTGGCCCATTGGAAGACAATGATTAAGGCCACTCAGATTTGAAAACGAGAATGAGTGTTCGAAGCTTTCAATACACATGAAATTATGTTACGCAATTTTATATCATTTTCTTCGTTTTATTGGAAAACAAGGTTTGTCGGTGAGGCAATGCAATTTTCATGCATCGCAAAGCAAACCAAACCGATTAATAAGCGATTTTATTTACTTACAAGTTTCAGTCGACGAGGTTTCCGTAGAAAGCGATACGAATCAAATTGATTCGTACTATTGCTGCATTTCTTATAGCGCGTTACGAATTGCAGGGTTGACTGTATTGCTTTCTATAGAAAATGTCAATATAAAAATTTCCATATACATATACATAATGTATAACTTTATTAGAGTGGGTGCAAAAAGCAGAATAGGAATTATACCGATCGCTTCTCGAATCCACTAGTTATATATACTACGTATATATATAGACAGTTATAGTTCAATAGAAGTGTGTGTGTTAGTTTATAGGAACTACGTACGCTTTATATTATGACTAGTGCATTGAGGGCATTGAGTGTTATAACTGTCGATTGTAAGATGATAGAAGGGTCCATTAGGTTTGTAACAATATATGCAACACCAAGAAGAATTCGAGATGGACCCACGCTTTATAATAACGATCAATTCGAAATCATTTCCCCGGTTTAAGTTTGCCCATCCATTGTGTGTCCATCGGTCTGTCGTCTTTTCTTTTGTTCGACCTACAAGTCACAAGTTTTGATGAAACGCTTTATTTCATAAAAATCGTTATATGAATAATTATAGCGTACTGTAGGATACAATGCTTTTTGTTGTTTTAATCTTTCTCAATGAATTTTATCGTCACCTTAGTATTGTAAAAGATGTTATTAAGTGAAATTGTTTACTTTTCGAACGTCAAGAAAGTGCAGAGAATAAAAATAGGCGTGGCCGGTATTTTCCATTTTTGTGCATGTAGTGCAGGACCATTCGTAGAATAAAAATAGACATTTTTATCGTTGTATTTATGTTGGTTTGATATAACTAACAAGCAAAAAAGGAGATTGTGTTTCATTTTTAAAAACAAAGATTGTATGAGATTATGTTGTGCTTTGGTCTTGTCCTTTGAACGATTTGTAACATTTTCAGTAACAATCTGCGTCCAAGAATTTCCAATATTTCTGCCTTATGTGAAGCGGATAGCTTTATTTGTGCGACAAGAAGAACGTTTGCAACTGCAGATGGTAGACAAGCAACTAGACGGAGCGACAGACATACTTGAATCGAATTAGAATTTAATGCTGATCAAGAATGTACATATTTTATGGGAGCCTTCCTGCTGGGTGTTGCAAACGTTACAGTAAAATGAATACACACCTTATTCTTCAGTGATGATTACAAAAAAAAAGAAAAACAATATTTGGAAATTTGGAGTAGGGCAGGAGATCAAAATTGAACAATTTTCGTTTTTATTAGGAATTTTACCACGATCTGCCTCTCAATAATGACATAGCCAGAACAGCATCCCCCTATTTTGGACAGGAAGAATCCAAACGCCCCAAAATTTAGCACAGAAATGCGTTGAGGGACTAAGTCAGGATAATTTCTTTACGAGCCATCACTGCAATCAAAGTTTACGCAGAACTAAAATTTCTTCTTATTGTGAACATTTTCCTTATCTCCTCACATATTACATTTCAATAGATTCGATTTTTGTGTATTTTTAATTCCAGTAACGTCAGCAGATAGCGTTAGGCCATAAGACCTCCTTTGCAACACTATTTAAAGGTAAAATAGGATAGTAGGATAGCAATAGTGATCCTTTAGCCACAATATTTTCCCGTCCCCTTAATTTTAAGCGTTTTTTTTTTATTTATTTATTTTTCTTTTAAATTCTTACAATAAATTAAAACAGGTTACGACTCTCTTGCCACCATTTCTGTGCTTTTTATTTTTATTTCCATTTTGGATTTCTTTTATTTTATTTTATTTATTTATTTATTTTTTGTTTCGTTTCAAGAAACGTTTGTCTCCAATTTATCCTCAAAACTAATTAAAGAAAACTCTCTATTGCTTACTCAGAAACAGGCATATTTTCCTTTTGTTTCACTTCACATTTTTTCCTTTTTAACGAAATTGTCAATCACTGTCAACTTTTGCCTTTATATAGAGCAAAAACATTTCACAATAGGTCGTATTTAGTAACACGTATGTATGTTTATGATAATCAACATCTTTTGTGCATAGTTAAGCCAAAGAGAAATGCCACAACTTCCTGCATAATATTAAAACAAGGTCCTATCTAATGCACATGGAGAGAAAAAAATATTTTAATCCATATCTCGGGAATTAAAGAGAGAGAGAGAGAGAGAGAGAGAGAGAGAGAGAAAGCAGAAATTAAAAATTCTATTTCTAATTTCTATTCTAATTATTGGCAAAACGTAGCTGAAAATACTCGATACAGAATATTTCGTCCCATTAACTGCGTAGTCTTCTAGTTATTGAACAAGTGAGGATCTAGTTAAGGATTTGATTTGTAAATCCATTTGTATCGTTTAATTAATCTCTGATTAATCTTTGCTTTAGATCCTTACGAATTCGAGATTCAACTGATTACAACAAAAATAGAATAGTCAGGATCGAATTCATTATATAGAACGTTAACATGACTGTATATAGTCCTTTAAGGAACAACATTACTTTGGATTACTCACTCATTCCTTACATTCGAGACTAGAATCGAGACAAAAGTTTTCGCATCGCATCTCAGTTGCCATAACGAAAGATGACTGATGGACAAACAAGCACAGATACAAATATGTACAACCTAAGGCTAAATCTATATGGGAAAAATAATTTTAGAATCGATGATTAATAAAATATTCTTAAATATACATAGCTAGAGGCTTATGTCAAAAATATGAAGATTTGAATTTCGCTTCAAGTTAAGTTGAACTGAATATTATTAGAGTTTATCTGTTTACTTCATATATGTTATGAAAGGATGAGTAAGAATGGGTTCGTTCATACCCTCCATGGCTTATATGCGGGGTAATTTTGGGAAAATTCATTTACTTATATTAAAGCAATTAGAAAATCCATTTTTATCTTGGGAAGAATTTAAGATAGAATATCATTCGCGAACCGTCAGATATTAGAATCACTCTAACAAAATATTCGTACAAAATGTGTAAGCTGTGGATGCTTCAACTCTGTGTGGAGAACATTTTCTGCAATCGTTAGTTACCGAGATGACTTTACTGTGATTGAAATATTAAATTGACTTTTCGTTCTCCAAGTTTGGTAATTAAAGTGGAATGTAATGTAAATTGAAAAGTGACGTAACAAGAGATAGCGGATATCCTGAAGATGTCGATAGACATCTACATTTACTACATTGCACGAAATGTTGAGAATTTTGCTTTTTCGAAATGCTGCTCCGATCATTGTATACTTCAGATCTGGCGCCCCGTCCCCAAGTGCAATTCTGAAAAGAGCTCTTCAGCCAGACAGACACGTATCAAATGCAAAGCTCATTGCGGCGATTGAAGCAAATATTAAAAATTTTGAAGAAAAAATGAGATAGTCCCGAGAATTATTGACCAATATATATTGTGTCGGGAAGTAAATCGCTTTAAAAACATTTCCATTTATTTAATGCTCTCCAGAGCATACAGAATAATCAACTTGACTTTTTTATTTATTTTTTTTTTTTGATTCGAAATTTAAACTTTAGTTATAGTTTGAGAAAGAGCGGTTCATAAATTTTCCAACTATAAAAGCTATCTCAAATAGTGGGCCCGACAGATTAAAATTGTATTCGTATTCACGTAAATAATTTTTATACTTAGTGATCTCTCAGTATATACCGTTCTTAGTTGGTTAGTGAAGAAAATGGGTTTAGTCTGTTACGGCATTTCGCAACAAAATCTTTTATCTACATTACAATTGTAAATGTGATTGAAATTTTATTCACAAAATAATTTCTAAAATAATAAGTACAACAAACATATTACGTTGCATCAAATCAAAGAAATGAGTACAAACCACAACACGAAATTCTGTGGCAGACAATTGAAACATTGGGTGGCTACAAGGAAACACAACGACTGTATATACATATTTGCGAAATCTGTACGCGTTGACATCCCCCCCCATAAAGAGTAACTTTTTTTAAAGTATTACTTTTTAGATAAAGTAATTAATTAAGAACGATTATAAACGACTGAGTAAATTGCTTTCTCTTAGTACATTATATATTTCTTTTTAACCGAATTAAATCTTTGTCTATAATGAAAAAAAAATAAATAAATAAATAAATAAATAAAAATTCTCTTAAAATTTTTTACATAACAAATATTAAAATGAATGTTTTGTGTTAGCCATTGAAGGACATATAGAAAGTAAAGCATTTCTATGGCTACCTATACATAGATAAGTTTATCTTACCTTTAACAATATTAAGCAAACAAACGGCAGTCTTTGAATTCATGAAATTAGTTTACGGTTCGTCACATTAAATCCTGTTCTCACTATTTGCCGGCAATCATTCGATGCGAGAGCTCCTTGTTTTTATTACAAATTTTATCTCAATTTATGCTGAGAGTGCCAAACACACGAGTCAGTTTTTCGACATTTACAAGAACACAAATACAAAATGCCAACTAATACCGGCATACAATATATTAATGCATACACAATCAACCTGCTTTAATATCCTTCCTTTTTATTTGTAAGTTTGTAATAACGGCTAGAAAGTATAGGAAAAGTCTGACATGCAATACTTTTTGAAAATCGAATAATTTTTTGTGGCAGTTTTACGGCTCTTACTGTTTATATACCTTTTGTAAAAGTTACTCTTTGTTTATCATTTGCACAAACCCTTAGGAAGTATGAATATGTATTTATTTATATATATATATCTATATATATATATATATATATAGATTTATATATATAGATTTATATATATATAGATTTATATATATATATATATATATAAACAGATTAAAGCTAGATAGATATCTATGTAAAATGAATATTGTTAGGCTTTTGTTCGCCTATGTAAAGGAAGATGAAAGTGTTTTTCATTTTGTTCTTGTTTTTAATATATATTTCTTTGGATTTTTTTCTATTAATTTCTTCTTTTTTTTTTTCAATTAAACATTCATATGGGCACTTTATCACTATAGCTTTTCATATTATAATTATTTATATTTTCGCATCTTGTATTTTAAATTTATAAAAATGTTTAAAGTTTTAATATATTAATCCAATCGATTATAAATATATATATATATATAATATATATATATCTATATATAGGTATATATACGTATATATGTAAAAGAGGTAAACTTCATACAAAACACCATACAGTCTAAGACAACAACTTCCCTTTTTAATGCCAAACAATTTAATCAATCACTTAACTGTGACCGTCTAACTAACTTTTATCTTCTGTTTTGTTTATATTAATCTCATGCGATATTACAACTCTCTCGTTTCTCTCGTTCAAAATACTACTAACTTTTTCGGAAAAAATTGACAAGAATACAAGAATTTACACATCTTTACCCGAAATTGAAGAATGAATGAATTTTCGTAGCAGAAAGTTGAACAAGTTATTTTTGAAAGTCTATTCACTAACTCGAACATGTATGTTGTAAATGTATGCAGCTCACGAACTCGAACATCAATTTCAATCTCAAAATGTACAATTTTATTCTCAGCAAAGTCAAAAAGGGCATTCCTAACAAAATGTACAGTAAAGTAAATTTTACTCTCAAAAAGTGATTGCTCGCTCTCTCCTCTCCAAATACTAAATAAACTAAATATCTGAATCGACTGAAACAACAACGAACGCCAAAACACAAACATCACGAACATGTTAGTTTGATCAACTATGTTATGAGGGACATATTCATTTTATCAAAATTGTTTGCAACACTCAGAAGAAAGCATTAGAGACCCCACGACGTGTGCATATTCTTGAAACAGCGTTAAATTCTAACTGATTTCCATACTTACACGCGTTTGAAAGTATGTAATAAATGTTTATAATTAAATATTGTACTCGACCCTGAGTACTTTGTACTTTGAAGAACACCGAATTTCCAGATATTTTGTATTTCAAAGTTTCTAAATTATTCTTAAATGGAGAAGTACCGGAGAGAGATGATATGCAGCCATAGGCTCATAGGGAATCTATAGCTATGTATTTTATATACTTTTATAAATTTAGTGCAACTAGTGGAAGGAATTATGAGAGATATTTTCATCGATCTTTTTTCATTCATATATTCAATATATGACAATCTATATCTGTGGAAAGTTATAGGCGATAATGTGCACAAACACAAACAGTATCATCCTTAGTTTAGCTTTATCCCAAAGATATGAAATGTATGGAGGTTTCAAATATTGATATGATTTGAAGGATATTTCTATAATACGAACGAATCCTTGCATTATCGTATTAACATCAAAAATATAAAATTGAGATTGGAATTATTATGATTAACTTCGAACATAGTAAAAATTGAAAATTTAAGAAAATACAAGCATTGTTTCTTTGTGTGGTCTTATCCGACCCGGTTTAGACTTTTTGACAAAGTAAAATTATTTATAGGGCTGGGTTCGATAGTTCGTTTCGGACTCAGACTAAATCCAACTAGACTCAAGCGGCTTGAACATTGAAAGAAACTTGAGTTTGTTTCTTCAAATGTTTGATTACAACTTGGTTCGAGGTTTGAGGAAATACTCTTGCGAACGTATTTTATTTTTGCCTTGTTTGGCATGTCGGTAGCAGAGATGCCAAATTTATTTGCTGTACATTTTTTATGAATACCCTTTTTTTTGACTTTTTCTGAAAATACAATTTTTTTCTTTTATATATAAAAGTGATATATTTAAAATTAATTGTAAATAAATTATTATGTCCCCATTAAAATTGATATTTCAAGTACTTAATTAATTATTTCAATTATTGCTCTACTTATATATACATATAGTGTAAAGAATTATTTCTACGAAACATTATTATTCGCATTGTTACACAGTTAACAGTTTTCCCTTTTTTATTATACCATGGTAAACGGAACAGAATGTTACATTTGGTAGATCTCTTCCTTTAGGCTGATTTAATGTTTTGAAATTTGTATGGAAATTTTATATAGAAAAAACAATTAATAACAAATCCATCTTTAAAATTAACACTTCAAGATCAAATTTAATCCCAATCAAATATCGATATCTGTTGTAGTATATAATGATATTATATTGGGATTAGGTTAGAAAATAGAACGCAATATATTGTTAACTAATTTAAATATAAATTTTCAATTGTAAAAAATGCCCAACCGGAACTCATTTAATTGATAAGGTCTCTTCGGAAAATCTTGGGAACCAACAAGCCAGTCCAGCGCAGTCAACACATTCAACACATTTCTATGCAAAATACATACGTGTGCACATATCTAACATTCATACTAATTTCCAATACTACGTAATAACGTAAAACCATACGCAACATAAACAGTGTGCAGTAGAAAGCACATCGTATTCACATGGCTTGTGTGCGGTTTTTTTTTTTTTATTTTCTTTTATTTACTCATTTTGTTTTTGTTTCTGTCTTTAGCTTTGCCAGATGTTTGGTTTTGTGCTATTGCCCGAAATATAATGATGGAAATCCCCGTGTTATTTAATAATCCAGTTTAGATATATGTAGATTGTAGATGTGGGTTTTGAAGATAGGTTAATGACCTTTATAAAATATTCAAAATTTTTTATACTCTACACCGCTTCTGATACAGGATATATTAAGTTAGTGCGGACGTATGTAGCACGCACAAGAGCTGAAGATAGACTCACTTTTGATTATACCGATCGATTCCGAATTAATCTAAATCTGCATGTCCGTCTGATGTCTATCCATGTAAATTTGTGTTCAAGCTACAGATCGGAATTTTTGAGATATTCTGATGAAATATGGCCCAGTCATGTGTTTTGACCCCAGCTTTTTGCGTCCGCTTCCCAATAAATACCCACAATACCCAGGCGTTTATACAGAAACAAGATGTTGGTTTTGGATTCTATAATAAAAAAAGGAGTTGTGTTAGACAATATGGTGTAGGATGTTTAATGGCGGGCCTTTCCCGACTATAATGTTTTTACTTTTCTTTTTATTTATTTATTTTTTGTTTTCAGTTTACATTGATAAACACCGCCGACTTTAGAGACAATAGCCGACTTTATTATAAGCTTCAATACTGATTAAGACCTTCATAAACATTATCGAATTAAAGTTTTATTACTGACCTAATGGAACTGTTCCTAAAGGAAAATTTCTCCTAAATTTTACGCCGATATCGAGATGCGGTCAACTTTAGATAAACAGTTTTATAGTCGTTAATAAGATTTAAAAAACCACAAATCCATAAATTGTATGGTTACGAGTGACATCAAACCTGAGGAAAGTTCTCTAAATGAAAATTTATTAAGCGCGTGCAAATCGAGAATACACTCGAATAAGTATTTTCCTGAAAACAAATTCTAAAAACTGATCGTTTACCCATAAGATCTACTTTCATGCTTGTATCTCCTTAAATGAAATTTTCTTCGCTTAGCGATGATTTTCATTTAATAAAGACTTAATTCGATAACCTTGTATTTCTACACCTTCATTCATGGTTTTATGGCTACCTATATCAGACCAAGGTGTACTCAATCTATGTACCATTAAAATGACAAGATTGCCTTTCTTTTGACTAGAGACTCAAAAATTGTGATCTGTTTGTTAAACGATTTTCGATTTAAACAGTTCAATAGCTCAGTGAAGAACACTTCAAGAATCTGGAGAAATATTGCACTTTCTTTGCTTAAGAATGCTAAGTTTTTTTATTTAACGACTAGTAAGCCTTCTCCCCAAAGATGAACTTAAGTTAGAACTTAATCGGTTAACATTATTCACTATCATTTCCTTCATGCAACCTATGAGCTTGTGGGGAAAGGAATGAAAAAATCTTGACATTTTCATTAATGGAAACATGAAAACAAAAAAAAAAAATCAACAAGATTTCCTAATCGTAGACCAGCAACAAAAAAAAAACGAACCGAACATTTGTATCGAACGTTTACCTGCCATCTGAGCCTTTGGTTTTTTGTTAACTTTGAATACAAGAAATATCTAAGTGTGACAATTCCGACATTGGAAAGTGTATTTTATCTCATACCTAAAGCGTAACATTCTATGTGAGCGGAAAAGTTGTTAACACCTTCTAAGACAATATAACATAAAAGAAAGCATGACACGCACGTGCATAGTGATGTCCCCTTAAGCAAACTATATACTTAATGTAATGTATCTATTAACATAAATAAGCCCACCCACTTTAGAACTACAACTATAAGGTTGACCGATTTGAAATTAACTGCCGTATCACGAGGTTTCGATGGAGAAGCAAAGAAAGATGAAGTTTGCTAGCCTGACATGGCATACATGGCATTTTCAAATTATAAACAAAAAAGACTCAAGCAGCAGAGAGTCAGGCTTATACGAGTCAATTTCCCTATTCCCACGTCAATTATCAAAACATTTTATATAGCTTACGCTTTATATATTATTTTTGATAAATTTAATACATTAACTATGTAGCTATTAAGGTAGATAGAGATAGATGGGTAGTTAGGTCTATAGAGAAACGTTTTGACAAACAACTAAATCGTAAACGCAAATATCGTAAAATCCGTAATTTTTGATCGTAATTGCATCCACCCTTAGTGGTGTGTTTAGTCATACTTTACTTTCATCTACGCCATGAATTTTCTTCTTCTAATAGAGGGTTGTTT